TAGGGAAGGCATTAGTATTCATTCTAGCATCAGTATTACTACGAGCATTAGTATTCGTAAGAATATGAATAGTCACATTACTATCAAAACTAGTATGAATATTCGTGTTAGAAATTTAAATACTGGCATTAAGGTTTATATTAATATGAATAGGAATATTTCTATTAGTAGATTAATCTGAATATTATTAATATTGGTGCTAATGAATACTAAAGATATACATACGACTAATGCTAATATCAAGATGTGCCAAACAATTCTAAGATATCTTGCCTGCAGTTGTGGGGGGGGGGGGGGGGGNNGGTGAGATGCGAACATAACTCATAAAGCCATAAATAGTACGATAGAGATTTTCAGTCCTGCATAACCTGCATATCCCAGCGGCAGTTCGTGAACATGGTGTGGGTCACGATGCGAAGACAGGCGATCCGGCAAGCTCCACTGCCAAACATGTCCTGGGACCGAGCATAGTGACGTTCTTCACGTGACAGCTGGGGTCGCTTCAAAACGCACAGTGGTTTGGTTAATCCTGGTGCACCTAAACCTGATCCGCAGCCGAAGCATCGAACAGATAGTAAAGATTATTATGCAAGGGTTGAGTTTCGCAGCTAAGCAAGCACTCCAATCGCTTTAAGCCTTGATGCACTTCAACAAGTGCGAGCCGGGCTTCAGCCTCAATCGTGTTCATCCTTCTCAAGTGGCCTCAGAGGCGAAGAAGCGCTTCTGTAGCAGAGTTATGACAAGCACAACTGTCTGCATATGCACGCTTTTAGGCTCGTGTATGTTTCGTTTGCCCTTCATGGCCATGGCATCAAAGCTCCATCAATGCGTGTGATTCGGTATGCGGAAGAATGTTCTTCGCAAGCCGGTGAGGACGTTGCTTATCTGAGATTCTCTGTCCCTGAAAATCTCACGTCCACGCAACTCTGTCCTACATTTGTCTCCGCTAATACCGTATACTCACTCTGCACGAGGATGGAGATTTTGCTGCCTGCTCTAAGTGTCGACTGTGCTGCAGCGACCTCGAATCTACAGAAGGAGCCCTGCTATTGCCAGCGGGGTGGTACCACGGCACATAGGGCCTATGTTTCAATGCCCGGATCTGTGAGTAGACGTTGAACATGCCTTTCCCGTTACCCCGGTGATTCGGTGGTGTGGCCAGTTATCTGCTTGGAAATACACAACATTTCACACAGGCAGTGCTTGCGCACCGAACCGACCCAACCAACCACCCCTACTCCCCCTCCCACAGCTCTGCGGCCCTCAAGGCTTGGAGGCTGGATGGGGTCGAAGGCCGTTGAGGGGTTGTAGGGCTCGGGGCTCGAGGGGTGAGGCTGGGGGCTGGAGGTCTGGAGGCTTGGAGGGGCTGGAGGATTAGGATCGAAGCCAGGAGGGCTGGGGATTGTTGGATGGTGTGAGGGCTGGCAAGTAAAGCTTACAAACCTGGATCTGAACGGTGACTACTAGTGACTACATGCGTTTCTTCACAAATTTAACACCATCACCAAACCCTTCCATTTGCTCGCTGACGGCCGAGCAGCTCGTGAAGGTGCTGGCAGATTGCTGGACCGCCTCCTTCCAGGAATCACCGCTGTAATGACATAATTGGTCTTGCAGCCGTTACTTGTAGTGATCTTACAGTGCTTCTTCAAGCATCTGCAACGACGCAGGCTCCGCCTCGGCCTTCTTCTGCTGCTCCCTCAGAGAGGCGCGAACGAAAGACCTGAGACGTCTCGAAGAGAAGCACATGGTTCAACCAAGAGGATGCGATCAGCATTGTCGAAGTTGTTCTGTAGAAACTCCGTACAAAGGCCAGATGCATTCCCACCCCTCTCACTTCTGTCGCCACCAGCACCAACACCATCACCAGCACCCGCACAACCTGCGGCAGCACCACCAACACCACCAGCAGCACCATCTCCACCGACATTAAACAACCAGAACCACAACCACCACCACCAGCAACAGCAACAGCAACCAAACCACCACCACCACCAGCGCCAGCACGGCTGGCAGAGGCAACAGCCCCAGTCCCATCATCAGCACCAACATCACCAAAATCAAAACGACAACCACACCGACAAGAAAAAAGACAGCAGCAGCAGCAGCAGCAGCAGCAGCAACACCAACAAGAACAACAACAAAAACAAGAACAAGAACAACAACAAGAACAAGAAGAACCACAACCAACACCAGCACCAACACCAACAACGCCACCAGCCCCAGCCCCAGCCCCAGCCCCAGCCCCAGCCCCAGCCCCAGCCCCAGCCCCAGCCCAACCCCCAGCCCCATCCCCCACGCGCAGGCGCAGCCCAGACCCAGGCCCAGGCCCAGGCCCAGGCCCAGGCCCAGGCCCAGGCCCAGCACCACCACCAGCACTACCAGCACCACCAGCAGCAGGAGGAGCACCAGCAGCAGCAGCAGCAACAGCAGCAGCAACAGCAGCAGCAGCAGCAACAGCAACAGCAACAGCAACAGCAACAGCAACAGCAACAGCAACAGCAACCATAACCATCACCCCCATCCCCATCCGATGGTGTTGTGGTCGGTGGTGGTGAAAGGATGATCATGAAGACGACCTTGTCCTCTGTATTTAGTTTCTCGTGGCGTTTGGAACCTCTGTTTTGACTCTTCTTCTGAAGCTGACGTGCGCTGCCATTGTTGTGGTGTCGGTGTCATGCAGTGCGCATGCGTATAGTAACACCACCCTTAGGCCACCGTCACATGTTCGGCAGTCACACGCCCCACCAAGCGTTTAACATCGTTTAAAAAGCTTAAACACTACATGCAGACCAAACAACACACGGGGCAAGTCATGGTGGGCATACAAGACCAGAGGATTTGATCTGAGACTGGGGCTGCTTCGAACTTCCGCGACTGATGCTTTTCCTGGTCTCAGCACACCGCATTTGCTATATTCCTAATGCTGGGGTCGATGACGCCTGCAAAGGGGCTACGATTACCAGTGTAATTACTGCAAGCACTGCTGGGCTTGTACTCCTGGCCTAACCCTGGGAATTCTGAAAGTTTCCAAGCTGTATCACAGTGAACTCACCGATGAAAGGCTGTCAACGCCTACAAAACAAGATTGATTGGCCTCTCTTTCTGCTCGTCCTCAGAGGGCTTTGAGCTCAGCACCGTCAACTCAGACTGTGACCTGCGCTTTGCCGGGCGGATTGCGGCCTAGAGTGCAGACTTGAATGTGAAAGGGCAACTGGCCAAGCGGAAACCCTTTCTTGAGGACAAGTGAATCTCTATCATGCGGCACTTCAACCTTACCTTGGACACTTCCAGGAACCTGCCATAATCAATCCTCTTCTTGCCCCCCACTGCTGCAGTGCGGGGCGGGTAGCCATCGTAACGATGTTGCTTTCAAAAGTTGCATGGCTAGTTTTCCTTCGGTGTTCACCAGTAGCACTGGTAGTACTGCCGCAAGTAAGTCAAGAGATGAAACACTCAGCCAACTTCCGAGATCACCGAATTTGACACATTTCATCAATGCGTGCCCACAGCCCCACACCTGATGAGAGTCAGTGCCGGACCTGGGAAAGTGGAGCAGCAGAGGAACTTGCAGGACTGCTTTAACTGTTAGTCTTTGAAAGATCGTGAAACAGATCGCGGCAGAATTTGCATCCCACCGAAACGATCTATGAATCTCCTTTGGCACTCTAGGAGGTGCTCACTCCGACTGTCGGCATTTTGCAGTGGCCTATGTGGATGGAAAAGCGACCGACCTTGTCTGCTGTGCTTTGTTTCTGACCCCTGAAAGCTAGGAGCAAATTCATCCAAGGCGCGGGGGGAGAGCGGTTCTGGCTCTTCCCTGGGCGCCTGTTCGAGCTCCTGAAAAGGGCTCTCTCTGACTGAAGGCCTGAAGTCAAAATAACCCCTAAAGCGGCCCCTCCCGCGGGCCTGCCGGGCCTCTGCGGAATCATCCACTCTGGCCACAACTGTTTTGCCGTCGGGGAATGCCTGCATTAGCCTGGGTGTCAAGCGTCAAGAACGGGGCAGGGCGCCAAAGCTTCGGTCGATCTTATCACGATCGGGTCTAATTTCTAGCAGCGCTGAGGCCTGGGAGGAATTGAAGGCATCCATTCCATGGCCGCCGGGCATCATAACTTCAGCTAGGCAGCTTCAACTGGGTAGACATGAGCTCTAACATCCGGGCTTGCTTTGCAAACCGGCTGTCAATGAAGGAGCGCAGCTTCACCACCTCTCTGCGGAAGGCAAACCTCGGGCACATGTGATCTGCCAGAGCATCAAGAAACACAGCCCAGGCAAAGCACTCCGAACAACACTCCCAGAATGGGCAGGTCCCGAACTCCGATGTTTCGCCCACCCACGTGCTTCCGGCTGCCTACACTTCTATAGGCTTTTATGCCGGGTCGCTCTTCACCTTTGAGCCCCGACTCCTCTGCCGACACATCAAACTTCAAGCTCTGCGGTCGCTCCTGGTTCTGGGCTTGAATCGAGAGCAGTCGACAATTGAAGAACATGCTTTGGGGTTAGGGCGGTCATTACTCTGCCGATCCTCCTGCTCCATTGCTTGAGCCATGGCGTCAATGAACCACGAAAATCTGCTTTTAGTACACTCCTGCCCTTGCTGTTCTGCCAGATGCTTTGCTAAACTGTCGCTGGGCGGCACAGTAAGACCTGAGCAGACTCCCTCTTTGCAACTCCATGTGCGACAGCTACGTCACGCCTCACACTGCGGTCGGTAACAGGACAAAGGCCACCCTGGAGGTTGCTCACCATGAGGCCACCCATGCTTGCTTTGCATGCCAAGGCTCGGTATCAAATGTCTGCGGCGACATGTGTGCTTGCGTTTAAAAGTATAAAGCGCTCCGAACTCTAGACTCTAAAGCACCTACTTCCATGTATCGTAGCACTTCACACCCCTGCATCTTAAAGATAGGGGGCGTGCAACCGCTGCGCGCAGCTATCGACAATTAGCAGATCATGGCAAAACGACTCTGCAGAAGGCTAGATTGGCTAGATCCTGCCTGCGGCTCTGGTTCGACGGGCTGTGAAGGCACAGTCTGTGAAGGCACGGTCTGCGCCGGCTCTGGAGCCTCCTCCCCAGGCTTCCGAACCTGCAAAGCAAGGGAGGTGGCGAAGCATGCAAAATGTAGCGGAACTGGGGCTGCCGCCACACCCCCAGGAGGCAGCTCCCACGCAGTCTCGTCTGTATCCTCGTTGTGGTAGTACACATCGCCTAGCGGCATAAAGCTTCGGGCGACTCCACTGAGACGGCTGATGGCGGCGCGCGACTTCGGCAGCTCTTGCCCCAGGCTGTCAAAGCTCAGTGTACCGGCCTTCGTCCGTGCGGACTTCGGTCCAGTAAGACCTGAGCTTCGAATCTCACAGTGACCCTGTGGCGGCAAAGATGCACACGACTGATGACTGCCGATGCAAATGGCGCAGTCAAGCATTTCACGACCTCACGCCCTGCACGTCATAAGGTTTGTCAGGCACATCATCTGCTACTGTACGGCTACGGGCCGAATCTGAACTTGCATGAACTTGACTTTAACTTTAACTTGACTACTCTCGTTGCACCTCCGACCCTTCGCAAATGAAGTGATCCGCAAGTTCCTTGGGCTCCTGCGTGGCGACAGCGGTTGCCGCAGGCTCCTGCTGGGGCTCGGCCGGCTCGGCCGCGGCCGCGGCCGCGGCAGGCTCTGGTGCAGCAGGGATCCTCAGCAACGATCCCGTTGCCATTTGCCAGTCCCGGCTTCGAGAGCAACTTTCAGTAAAGAGTAAAGCACCCTTGAGCTAAGGCTCTTGGCTGCTGCAGGCCCCAGCGAAGCGGTATGCGCTGGCGCCTCTTCCCCCTCCTTCAGTCAGAGTGTATCAAGACTTCGTTGCAGAACAGAACAATACAGAACACAACAGAACCTGATAAAGCCGCTCCATGAGGCGGCCAACTCGATCTGTCTAACCAAGGCTTTTCTTCGAGTACGTCTTCCAGGTCACTCGCTTCACCAAGCTTTCGCGCGTTCTGGGTCCTTCGCCAAAAATGCTGGCACTTTGGGCATCGGAGGCCTCTGTCTGCAAACTTGGCAGCCGTCAAGCTCTGCAGAGACGATCGTCAAATAAATGTTTGCCATGTCACATCTGACGGATTGACTGGCAGGTCAACACTCAACTTGTTCTTGTATTGCTGTTGTTCTTCTTGTTGAGAATGCTATTCATGTTGCTGTTGTTGTCGTTGTCGTCGTGGTCGTTGTTGTTGTTGTGGTTGTTGCTGTTGCGTGTTGTTTTGACGTGAAGTTGTCTAAAGTTGGGAGTCAGCTCGTTGATGAGTTTCATGCGTGTGCTGAGCGCTGAGGCGGAGCTTTGGCCTTCCAGGAAAGTCCCGGCCTCAGCTCAGACAAAGCGAAAGACTCTGTCGAATCTTCAGGCGGATCATGACTCTGCCTCCCTCCCTCCATGTGTCCATGTGACTGGTCTGCAGAAGCACAGAAGCGGCAAGTGTCCGCATTTGTCACAACCCCAAACAGAGTTCGAATTCGACGGGGAAGCGCTTGGAATGGCGCGTAGCCCGGGCTCTCTGGAGATGCACGCAGACGTAAGGTGAGATGTCACTCGCATTTGCGGTAGACTTCGATGCCGAACTCTTGTCTGCAATTTAAAGAAGCACAGAATCCAAGGGTGTAGCAGGCGGAAGTCCCGGCTCACTGATGCTTCCTTCACCGGTCAATGCAGTGTCTTGCACATTGCTGCCCACAGATCTGCCCTGGAATCAGCTCGCCCCGAGGACTCTGGCACAAAAAGTCTGGCCGGGTTCTTAATAATCAATATTGAAAGTACATTTGGCGCGCACATGGCCTTTAGCACCATGTGCATGCACAGCCCTGCAGCACTTGGGCATCAACAGCAAACGGCGTTGCACATGTACCACCACAAGTGAAAACACCATGCACAGACCCCTAGTTGCTTTCGGACATTGCTTCATGTCGGTCCCTTTGCGGTTCCCAAATAGCTGCAAAGAGGACACGGTCTGCCAAACTTGAAAAGACTTGCAAATCTGCCCGCCAGGCACTATCCATGTAGTTCAGGATGGTAAGCATGGCCTGTTTCGGCTGCGATGCACACTTTCATTCCCCCACAAAGTTCACGGCTACATGTCGGACAGGGCTCTACTACTCCGCTGGCTACGGCTCTCGCTGCTGGCCAGGCCGTCCGCGGCCACGACCGAGTAGCCTCCACCCTCTGAAACTCAACCCACTTCACACAGCTAACTGTGCCGACGAACCACCCGTGGTTCTGTCACATGCTGCATTACTACTGGAACAGGGAGAAGCGGTTCATCTGTCTGTGGGACATGCATCCGTCATTGCGTCGCAAAGGGAGCACTCATTCGCGGAAGAATTCCGAGCTGCTCCTGCCTGGACCGTCAAACGGAACTGTGCAGATTCATCGAGTCTGGCTTGCAGCTGATCAGCTGGTTGCAGCTGTGAGGCTCATGCTGTGGCATGTCCATCCTGGGACACACTGGGGCAAGGCATGTTGCTGAATGCTGCTGACCGGCCGGCCTTAAGAGCCAAGCCATGTCTCAACAGTGGAGCTCTAAAGCATCGCCCGTCTCGGAAACCGATACCGATGGTGACAAAAGTGGTACCGATTCTTGGGGCCTATGGTTGTTCGGAGGACCCCTTGTACAAACGGTGCATGCATCCCCTCAAGTCAAGAATCCCCTGCGGCGCCCTCCGAGCACATCCGCAATCAAAAGACATAACAGGCTGCTACTAGTAGATAATTATATCAAGCCTGCATCAAAACAAGACCCTTGAGCAAAGCTTCCTGCGGAGCTCAAGCTTTGCACGTCGTCCTGCCGTGCAGATGCTCTAGGTGAGCACGTCGTTGGGCATGGAATACACTCTGACAAGACATGTTGATAGAATTCGCATTGATTCCTGTCATGCCATCAGATTCTGTGGCTTGATCCGGTATTTGCAGTGACGAAGACTCAAGAACAAACCTCCGCCCTACTATCTCAGAAGCGACTGCAGTGTAAGGTTGCGGAGGCTGGCCTCGGAGGCGACGTCACGCTCGACGGCGCTCATGAGCACCCCTGCATGGAAATGCCGCGGCTAGCGAATTTCACCACTCGATCTCGGAACCAAGGGCAAAATCGCAATTCAAAGTCTGCACTGCGTCTAAACCAGATCCTGGCCATGCTGCCAAGACATTCCAGGCCCGGCGAAGCCCACCGGCGAAGCCCTCAACAGCTTCCGAATCCCAGCTGCTTGCCGTCAAGGCGCTGTGTCTTAGACCTCAGGCACACTTTTTTGCAGGAACAAGAGCCAGAGTTGACAGGCCCTCCAGCACATGCATGCAGGATCGGCCGATCCGTTCACCTGAGGCTGACTGCTTGACCCGAGCTACGAACCGCATGTCAAACACGACCACATCCCCAAAAAAACTGCGAAGCGTGTCCCTGTTGACGAGTAGCTCAACAGGAAGCTTCGCATGAAGTTCCGAATCTCCTCTGGAGAGTCGGTCGATGCCTGAGTTCTCTGCACGAAGCGGTTCGCCTGCCGCCGCACGGCTTTTCGTGGTTTCGCGTTGAAAACTGCAAGATACTGCAAGGCAGAATGCACACAAAGGCTCAGACACGCGGATCCTGTCAATTCCGTAAGGCTCAGGCAATCTTGGCCAAGAGCTCCTCCTTCGGGTTGAAAGTCGCATGGCTGGCCTGGGCTCGAGCTTGCGGCTGCAGAGGTGGTGGCCGTGGAATTCAGAAAATGCCGTGCCTTGCAGGGTTCGCCAAGCATGCCTCCTTCTTCGGATAACCTCCAGGCGGCGACTCGGCAACCCCGTCCACTCTGCATGTGCTGGCAATGGAAACACGAAGATTCTGTCAAACGTGCCGGCTGTGCTGCACATCCGACTCGGCATCTTCGATGACCAGGTCAGACAGCCGGCCATGCTTTCCTGCTCGCGGGATCATGCTCGAGCATAAAATCACCGGAGCTCGAACACTCACCGAAGAGTCTCGAGTCTCGAGGATTCGCAAGGCAAGGCATGATCCATGTGAAGAGGGCTGTGCGTGTGCTGCTGAAATCCCATGAAAGCAGGGGTTGCCCTTGCCAACGCATGCTATGCAAGACCGCAAGACCGTTCAAGCGACAGCCGGGTGCCTGTTGCATAATCCACGGTCCCCGCCTTGCTCGCACAAGGAAACACGAGAAACCTCATCAAAACGGGCTACTCCTGTGACTGGCGGACTTGCGGCTTGCGAGGGCAGCGACTTCAAGTCGTGTACCCAAAACTTCGACTGTATCCCTGGATAGAGTGGGCGTGTCCAGACTGCTTCTGGCACGAGGCCCGCATACTTCAGTGCCCCCGCTGCCATACGTGCATTTCCCACAAGTGGAGGAAGTCTCACAGCCCAAGTTGCGGTGGTCGGCATGGAGTCCGCAAAAGCGCGCGCTGAGCCAGTGGAGCAATGACCTCGCTGCTCCATCCATGCATGATCATGGGTTTCTAGCTGGACAACGAATAGTAGAAGGAACAGCTTGTGGCTTTAACAAGTTATGACAACGGACAGTCAAAGACAGACCGACAACCACGACGACCATGACGATTACAGTACCACGACCCGCACAAAGAGTCCACCAGGACACTGCTAAATGCTCTCCCCCAAGTATACTAGCGGATCTAGGACCAGTGCGGAACGGTTTGACCTATATAAGTACTTGCGTGCTTTGAGACCACGACGCTTAACTTATGCTTCGCCCCTCTCCCGCCAGTACGATTGCGATTCAAGATTTTCGAGAGGAAAAGCTCCCGAAACAGTTTGGGAACTATAAGTTTTCGCGCTCAGCGAAAAGAGATCTGTTCAGAGCATCTTGCGAATCGGGATCCTGCGTCTTATTATTTACACAGGATGCTCGCGGCGCGCGTCTCCGCTGCGCTGCGGTGCGTAGTTCTCGCTGACGTCCTAGTAACATTTATTTATCTTGAGCTGCGGGACGCACAACCACCACTTTAAAGAGTCTATCTACCTCTACAGCCCCGGCCCCGGGACGCACCCCCAATCGGGGGAGTTTCCGCGACCACACTATTCAGGCCGCCAGGAAATGGTTTGCACAACAAAACGAAATATCACATTGAAGTACTAGTTGTCTTGATGCACACCGCCTGGGGTGGTGGAAAGAGGGGCACTGAAGCTCATGTAGACGAACCATGATCTCCAAATGTCAGCTGACTTCCTACCGGCTTGCAAGTTAGAACGTCCTCCAAGATGTTTCGCATCGATCGCGAATATCACATATGGACGATACACAAGTACCATCTACACTGATGTCACAAGTGATTGCTGCGGCACATCAAGATGATTTGCGCTGATATCGTGAACCATTGCAAAGGGCTTCGTTGGGCGGAGCTCTGCAATGTTCCTCAGGTTACTGCCCCTGAAACAAATCCTGTTCAGGAAATGGCATTCATAGTCAAGTGCTGCACCCCCCATGTACCTTAGATTCTCACATGCCCACACACCCAAACGCACATACCTGCGCGCACACACATATCCATAATATATATTTATACATATATATATATATACATACAGATTCTTACATGCAGACATACATACATACATAAATAGCAAACATGCATACCTACATACACGCATGCATGCCTTCACAAGCGCGTGCAATCGCATGCGCACACTTGCACGCATCACGAGCAGTGGGATTCGTTCGGATTAGATCGCAAAGGCCAGCATCTTTGTCAACGCAACTCATCCCCCCAAGCCATACTACTAAGGCTATGCCTTCTGCGCCCGCCCCCGCAGTCACGTCGATCAACCAGAGCAGTGCGATAGCGGCATGGGGGCACTGCATGGCAAGGCTGCAACTTTATCTCGAACTTGCATGTAACATGCAACACTGCTGAACTCCAAGGCTTCAGCTGCGGCAACTTCGTGCGCTGAGCAATGCGCTGGCGCTCTGCAGCACTTCCTCAAGTATGCTTCCGACCCAGGCGACTTGCGAATCGTATCTCCGTGCCAAATTAATCTAGCTGCAGCTTCTCGCCACGCTTCGAGACACACGCTTTCAATTGAATATTTCAGTTCGATCTGGGATACTCTGGGATGCAAAACCTGCAGCCCCAGCCGCAAGTGCTCTGTCAATGTGTATTCGCAAGACATAGTATGGAGGGAAGAAATGGGAATCGCAATGACGGAGCTGGACTGGCTGTGTCGACACCAACTGCAGGCGACTTGTGCACACTGACGGCTTCACCATCTCCGTCATGCCACGTTTCGTTACCTTCGACCAGTTTGGAACATGATGGGAAACAGAAATGAAACACCGATCCCACTCGCTTGTGCATCCGAGCCGTACCTTCAA